GGGGACACTGTGCAGGGTCTGCCACCAGCCTACCGTGACTGACCACATCCCTGGTTTGTGCGGCTCCATGGCCACCACCATGGCTGAGTTGGGGATGCTGAGCAGCTCCTTCAGCCCTTGGCCTTTCTCCAGGACCTTCCCTGCAACAGCAAGGGACCCTCTGGGATGGGCAACCTGGGTCCGTCCCCTGGTCCCTGGTGCCAGCCAGGAGCCCCCTCCCTGGGGGCAGCCCCCTGCGTGTCCTGGCCTGTGGGGATGCTCCAAGAGCTCTCCAGGGGGCAAAGCATCACTCACCCCTGATCCCCCCTCCCTGGGCTCCTACCTGCCGGGTCCCGGACCTCGATCCGTGGGGCGGGACCGCTCAGGGAGATGGTGACCTCCTTCAGGCTGGTGTCAAAGGGGACGGGCCACGTGTGCTCCCCACCATCCTTGTGGTCCGTGGACAGTAAGTGGACTTTGGAGGCCTGGATGGCCTCTTCCACCCACTTCAGCACCTGCGGGCACATGGGGTGGGATTAACCCGGATCCCCCCCAGGACCAGGCACGGCCATTGCGTGGTCATTTTGGGAGGAGGGATGTATTGCACAGAGTCAAAATCTCGTCCATGGCTGCAAAACATCACCCGGGTGAGGGACTAGCCCCAGCCAGGTCCAACGGGTGCCAGCATGAGGGTGGCACTGGGATGGGTGAGCAGGAGGTGACAGCCCCGGCTGAGCCCCCTCGCTACAGGCAGGTGCAAAAGGAATTAAGTAATTCAGTGTAATTGCTATTGCTGAGTGGCTTCTGCTCAGCTGCTTGGAGCAGGCATGATATTACCTCCAGTTTGTCCACAGGAATAGAAACCATTAAAACCCAGAACTGCCAGGGGCTGGGCAGGGGTCCCCATCAAGCTCACTGGGAGGTGCTGCCCTGTAAGGAGCAGAGAAGCATTTCCATGCTCCGCAGGTCTCACCTCCGTCACCTGCTGCTTGTCCAGGTGGAAGATCTGCCCGGAGCTGGTGGCCGCGATGCGCTCGTACACGCGGTACCCAGGGTGGCTCC